GCGAATATCATTGAATTATAACACTCGTACTCGATAAATTGCTCACAGTGTGAAGAGACTCTGGTAAGACTTGCCAGCTGAGACAGACTCGCTCCTGTGTAATGAATGTCACGTGAGTAACACCCCTGATCTTCACATCCATTAACATGTGTTCTACTCTCACTGTCGTGACTAATGACTGTCACGCCAACTCTACTTTTATCAGTCATGTCACAGAAGACCGTGAATGGTGCCAGACCTCCCTCACCATCAGGATCAATGACGTAATTTCCGCTTACACTGGTGACGTATTTTTTAATCACAGAACAGGAAGTAGCCACGACAGGAGAATTGATTTTAACTTTGGCTTCTATTCTTGCCAAGGCATTACTCGCTCTACAGATATAAGATCCTTCGTGAGATTTCTTGATGTTCTGAAGAACCAGAGTTCCATTCGAAAGAACATTAGAGTCCAACGAAAGCGAGGACTTGCCCTCCTTTCTCCAATAAGTTGTAGGACTCAGGTCGCTCTCTGCCAAACACGGCAGATGGACAGTATAACCAATGACAGGAGTCACTTCTTGTGGAGGACGGACTTTAAGCCGCAATGGAGAGAATACCATAACAAGGGTTGTGGCTGTTGCTTTTCCCAGAATATTCTCCGCTTTACAAATGTACACTCCACCATGTTTCTTTGTGACACTGTAGATTTTCATGGTTCCTCTTTGCACCTTGATTCTGTCACCAGGTAAACTTCCCACTGACTTGGACCACGTCATCTTAGGTGACGGCTGACCAGTAGCATTGCAGGCGATGGTGACGTTTTGTTTCTCTTCAGCTATTAGTCGATTGGATGACAACGAAAGCAGCGGACCAACTGGCGAGAAATAGAAAATAAGGTCGTTTATTGAAGAAAGTCTAACTTAGAGCACGGTTTAAGAAGTCATGATCATTTATCACAAAATGTGTTTGCTAGTGGTTTATTTTAAGTAGATTAATGGTTTTCTCGTCTGGGCTTTGGGCCTTCTTGACACCGTTAACAGCAAACAATGTTCCGATATAGGTGTTGGCAAAATTAAAAAGGGTTCAGAAAGCGTTTTTGTTGAAATAATTTCCAAAGGGTGTTTTAATATCACGTTTTGGAGTGAAGTATTCCCGATGTTGTATTGAACGAGATTTCCTTACAGCCTTTCTCTGTACACTTTGAACTATAATTTTCTAAGATTTAATCACTAGAGCTTCGGTAGTAATTGTGGATAACTACAATTCTTGTGCTATTTCTATATATATATGACCAGGCCTACTTACACTGTACAGTGAGCTTAGCTGAAGCGTTAACGCTCCCCAGTAAATTTTTAGCTTCACAGCTGTAGACTCCCTCATCCCCAGGCCTCACGTCCTTCAAAATCAGAGCACCACTGGACTCTACCTTGTGACGTCCCACAGGAAGCCGCGAGTTCATCTTAGACCACGTGATCTGTGGAGTTGGATTTCCATCTGCTGAACATTTCATGATGGCCGTCTGACTTTGATTGACAGTTGTTTCAACCGGACTTTGCAGCAGAGAAGGAGCCATGATGGACTGGCCCGGCTCACCCTTGGTTCCCTTTTGACCTGGTGGGCCTCTAGGACCCATCGGGCCAGGGACCCCCGGTACTCCGAGATCCCCTTTAATGCCGACGGGTCCTGGAGGTCCTACTGGCCCATGTTTACCAGGAGGTCCTTCTGGCCCGGGCTTCCCTGGGGGACCTGGTCTCCCCCGGAATCCGGGTCTTCCCCGTCTCCCTGCATTACCTTTTGGTCCTGAGCGGCAAAGCTCTTCATCTTTTGCACAGAATTGGTTTTGCAGCACTTGAAGCTCTTCTTTGATGAGTAGTTTTACTCGCGATTCTGTTTGGACCGATTTTGTTCGTGAGTTAGCGGGTGACGCTCTCTTCCGTCTTGAATTGACGTTTTCATACTCGCCAAGACCTTTCAAAACATTAAATAAGGCCGTTTCTGAGCAGCAGAAATATACATCGTACCAAAGAAAAAACAAACAAACCCCCAAAGGTGAAAACAATCTAAAAAACGACAGCTGCCTTGACGGGTTTTCTTCCTGACACGCATCCTCAGTTAGCATAAGAAAGCACTCTTTTTAAATTCTTACCGAGCTAAGCCAACATTGTACACCCACTTCAGTTCAAGTCATGTCCATTTGCTAAATAGCCAACTCCTCGTATGTAGCCCAAAGGAAATACGGACTCATTTTGTGTTCGATAGAGCCGAACTATCATAAATTTTTATTTTCATTTACTGTAAGTATCAGTGTAGCTGAAGGTTGTTATAATATCATTCTTTCGAAATGTGCAGGGATACTTTTAAACTAACTCAGGACGGGCTGTTTTCACTCCTTTTGCGGTTGGTTGTTGGCTCTTGTTGTATACACTCTTTTTTTTATAAGAATATATATTTTATAAGAATATCGAGGCTGAAATTTGCGAAATTTTAAGAATATTTTAAGAATAAAGCCAAGGCTGAGATTTTGAAAAGGATAGATATAATTTTGCGTGCGAAATGCTTTTTTTAAAGCCAAAACGGGCCAAGTGTCGTTTGACGTGACATCTTGTAATTGATACCCCAATAAATTCTAAAACGGAAATGTGATGAGCTATAATTTAAGAATAATACAAGAATATTTTCAGCCTAAAATCGGCAGAAAAATAAGAATATTCAGCCTGGGCCGGAAAAACAACATTCTTAAAAAAAAATGAGTGTAGACCTTGTCACGGTTGTTGACGCCATCTTTACGAGTTAAGGCAAACGCGTGAGAAATTACAGTGTTTGTATGAAAATCTTATGTCGAATAATTTCCGAAAAACGGCTCCTCTGAAAAAATATGATTTGTAAACTAAAGCTTTGCTCCTAAGGATTCTACTGAAAAAATTCAAGGGCGTTACATGCACTAGAAGACCTAGAACCACTTTTTTAAAATTTTCATGCGAAAGTCCCGGGAAAATTACAGACAAATATATGGAAAATCTAAAGCAAGCCTCTAGAGAAATTTAAGAACAGGTACGCCCCCAAAATTGTTTAGGACAACCCTTTGCTCTGTAGCTTTACTTTACAATTGATATTTTTTTCAGAACAGCCGTTTTGTGGAAATTATTCGACATTAGATTCTCATACAAACACTGTAATTTCTCACACATTTGCCTACTCGTCAAGATGGCGTCGAAAACCGTGACAAAGTCTTTTCTGTTCTTGACAGCTTCACCGATTACAAGCTTGTGCTCTTATTGCAGATTCTAAGCGGGTAGTCGAAACAAATTTTGAAGATAAAGCTCCTCTTATGTTAAACAAGGATAATTTTTTTAATCGCCAGGATCTGAAACAAGCTGATGTTAACATCAAAAACCAGAAAATTTTATAAAACTTTTCCTTACCATTTGTCCCAAGCAAATGACCTTTTATGCCATCAACTTTCGTAACTTGCCATCGTTCGTAATTCTGCTGAACTTTTCTCAGAATCTGCGTTTCCATCTGATCACAGGCTGTAACCGAGTGTGATATCAGCCGATGATGTTCGTGTATTCGGAGTTCCACGTGAATTAGTGCCATACAACACGCAACAGACAACAGCAAAGCTGACACAGAACACAAGCTGTTCAGTGTTTCTCTGCTGTTTTTCATCTTGTCTTCCTTACTAGTCGGCTGTTTCATGTTTAAAACAGTTTGCAGAGATACACAGCGTCAATTTCGAGATAACAAATTGAAGGCGTGGAGTGAATCTTCTTTGCCGACGAAAACTCAGAACGTTTTATATGTTAAGCAAAACGAAAAGCGGAAGCTGAAACGTGACTTATTAAATTTCGTCCCTGAAACGGATACAACCCACCATGAGTTGTGACTGATACGAGAAAATAATCCCTTGACCCAGCCAGAGTAATACATTATAGGTTAAAAAACTGGCGGAAATTCAAAATGAGGGAACTTCTGGGACTTTCTGGGCAGAATTGTTGTGGGTCGTCCGAAACTGTTTTTTTTTTTTTTTGAGATTTGGTATTNTGGGACTTTCTGGGCAGAATTGTTGTGGGTCGTCCGAAACTGTTTTTTTTTTTTTTTGAGATTTGGTATTTAACTTATTTACCCGCGGGATTTAAGATTCATGTGAAATGCAGTGCTCGATTTAGCGTTGGATCCCGAATTGACGGGTGCCGAATAGGTTTTTCGGCATCCGGGATTTCCCTTCTTTGAAGCTCGGGATTCCGGATTTGAAAGCAAATATAATCGGGGTACGGTGAGTTTCGGGATTGAAAGTATACGCGGGAGGTGAGATGCCAAAACTAACCCTTTCTTAAAATGATATCGATCGACAGAAACCTTTTATGTCCACCCTGTCACGAGGCCAATTTTCGTAATATCTAACTATCTGGTGCCTGTGGCTTGTTCGGCGAAAACGTTTCATCTTTAAATACAGCCCGGGCTGTCATGCTTTCACCGTGACAACAATTTAGCTCAGTTACTTCAAACTGGGATGGCGGTAACAATAGAACAAGTTAAATGCTTAAAGGAACCTTTCAGTCAGTGCTTTTAAGTCCCGGCTTTCAGGATTATATATTTCTAAATGGTAATCCGCCACTTTAACAGAACAAATGGATCCAGCCAATGAATAGCCTGTTTCAGGCGTTTAGATAGTGGGAAGCGAGTGAAATCGTACGCGGCGAGCGCAAAAAGAAACACGAGGGAAAAAAAAACGAGGGGAGACTGAGGCGTTTTCGCCCGCTCCCCACCATCCCGGAACAGGCTAGCCAGTGAAAGATACTATGGTTCAGAAACCACTTAAATTTGTGACTGAGGAAGGGCTCAAACTCGAAAAGGCTGGAAACATTGCATTTTTCAAATTACACTTTTGTTTCACTAAAAACACTGAACTTACAATCAACTTTCTCTTTAATGGAGACCTTCGGGACCGGCCGCGACTGCCGTCTTAGAGAGATGTCCTGCTCAAGTTACCTCGACCCTCTGTAGTACAGAGGGTCGAGGTAACTTGACTCAAGTAAAAACTTAGGCTGAACCCATTCGCAATGAATACACGTCTTCTTAACTTGTTCAAAACAGCTAAAACTAGAATATTGTAACGCAAAAGTGGAATCATTTTCTTATTATACAATCAAACGTTCATTACAAGCAAACGTTCACGACTTAGCGGTCTAAAAGCGTAACAGTATACACTCTATGAACTGAAGAAAGACTGCAAAATATTAAAAAGTTTGCAATTCAGTATTGTCATATAGTGCACCTACGTTTCCTTTTTTGAGGTATTTTTCACTGCATAAAGCACTTGTCAAAGTGTCCGTTGTCTCGAGTTGTCTGTTTTGGAGAGGTGTCCGTCTTATAGATAGAATAAGTATAGTTACAGTAAAATGACTAAAAACCGGGAGAGTTGACTGTATTTTAATCTACTCAACCTGTTAGCAGTTATATGCGAGTCAGTTCATGAACAATTCACAAGCACAGCAGAATACTTAATATTGATTGCGTTTTTTTTGTAGTTTGGTAATAATGTTGCTGCTAACGCGAGTGAATCAAACTCGATTACCACGAAGAACGAGCCTCACTTTGCCTCCGCACTTGCTCGTGGGAAGCCCGATTTCTCTTCTTATACTGATTTTTTCAGGGAATCGTGAAACGACACCAATATACTTGTCAGGCTATCTTTGATTTATAGCTAATCAGTTTGCCTTTTTGTTACCTTTCACGAAAATTTATTGATTACATCTGCGCGGCTTACCTTTTGCTGCCAGAGTACTCATCTTGTTTGGTGGAAAACAGCTGCAAAATGCTCTCGGGGATCGGGGTACGGGTACATGCGGAAAAGAAACGAACATTAGCTCTTCTGGGTGTGGAAGGTGGGGAGCGGGGGGGGGGGGGGGGGGGGGNCTTTCCTAGACCACTTGAAATATAGTCATCTTCCAAACAGAGGATATTTTAAAAGCAGTGTGCACACCGTAATAAGCATTGAAGAGGCTGTCTTTTCAAAGCTTTAATCTACATCTTAACAGTTAAACTAGTGAATCAGGAAAACTTTATTCAAAGGCATTATTTGCCAAATTCGTGCCAGCTAGACAGAAAGATTTACGCGCCCTCATCCATTAAACTTTCAGTTTTATTGGCCACTTTCGCAGGTAACGTTAATATCCCACTTGCAGAATAGAACCTTTCGCTCTGTTAATTTACTACTTAATGATACAACTTAACAATGTAGGATAAAATTGTTTGAGGCTGTGTTAAACTGATGAATGATATAGTTTTCCTGGTACAAGGTAGTGCATCGTCATGCAATACCAAAGCATTTCAGTTTCCCCAGGGTGTGGTAACCTTCCTCGCCGGTACTCACATCACCAAACCTGAGTTGTTTGACTGGAAGCTTTGTCTTATCAGTCAGGAGACCGCTGTCCTCACGCCATTTTGCGTCATTCTTATCACAGTTACAAACTTCACTGGAGCGCGCACATGAGTTGGTCATCCCGCATGCGCACTTACCACTGCCGGGTGACGCTCCACCCCAGTACGTCATCATTGCGGAATCACGTGACACCCACCAGGCGTATCCACCAGCAATTATCATTGAATCATAACACTCGTACTTGATAAACTGCTCACAGTGTGAAGAGACTCTGGTGAGACTTGCCAGCTGAGATAGACTCGCTCCTGTGTAATGAATGTCACGTGAGTAACACCCCGCCTTTTCACATCCATAGACATGTGTTCTACTCTCACTGTCGTGACTAATGACTGTCACACCAACTCCACTTTTATCGGTCATGTCACAAAACACCGTGAATGGTGCCAGACCTCCCTCGCCATCAGGATGAATGACGTAATTTCCGCTTACCCTGCTGACGTATTTTTTAATCACAGAACAGGAAGCAGCTTTCACTGGAGAATTGATTTTAACTTTAGTCGTTATTGTTGCGAGGGCATTACTCGCTGTACAGGTGTAATATCCCTTGTGAGATTTCCCGATGTTCTCAATTACCAAAGTACCGCTTTGCAGAACGTGCGTTTCTGCAGGAAGAAAACCAACGCCTTCCATTGTCCAAGCAATTGCAGTACTTAGGTCACTCTCGGCCACACACGGCAGGCGGAGAATGGAACCAAACATAATCGGATTCACCTGCTTAGGTGGTAGGACTTTGAACCGCAACGGGGAATACACCGTGAGTTGAGCAGTGTCTGTTGCTGATCCCAGAATATTCTCTGCTTTACAAATGTATATTCCACCATCTTTCTTTGTCACACTGTAGATTTTCAGGATTCCATCTTGCACCTTGATTCTGTCTCCAGGTAAACTTTCAACTGCCTTGGACCACGTGATCTTAGGTGACGGCTTACCAGTAGCAGTGCAGGCGATGGTGACGTTTTGTTTTTCTTCAGCCATCAGTCGATTGGATGACAATGAAAGTTTCGGACCAACTGGCGAAAAATAGAACATCAGGGCCGGTTATTAAATTTATTCTAACTTAGAGTACGGCTTTTAGAAAATCATTCGCTCCAACATGTTTACGAGTGGCTCATTTTAAGTATATAAATGGTTTTCCGGTCTGGGCTGCCAGCCTTTTTCACACTACTAATAAAGAACAATATCTAGATTTCAAAGTTGGCAAAACTGTGTCAATATATAGTTATTTTTTTCGGAAGTTCTGTTTAACCACTTTGTCGTTTTGAAGTTTAATTTCTGGACACCTGCTGGTATTTGTCGATTAATAAAATTCTCATTCCATTTGTGTTTTAAAAATGACCAAGTCTACTTACAATGTACAATGAGTTTCGTTAAGCTTCATAGAATTTTTACCTTTCAAACTGTAGAATCTCTCATCACATTTCTTTTATTCTCTTACAAGTAACACTCATTTCCACAAGAAAGGTTTTGCACTTACCCTTGTCTTGAAAGTAAGAAATTTTGCAATTCGGAAATGTACTATTCCGTATCAAACAATCTGCAAATCACGTATCCCGGCCAGGTATAATTCCAATTGAAGGTCCAATGGTAAATCTAAATCTTAATTCAGTTTGTTTATTACTGTCTGAGTTGTGTATTAACGTCATAATTTAAAGTTATCCGATTGTGGCCGGTGAAGCAGTAAATTTTTCCGAGCTCTTTAACGCCGCTCCGTCCACTCTGTCTTTTTGTTTTAAAAGTTTTAGACTTCGCTGGTAATTGCATGCCGATTAATAAAATTCTTGTTCCATTAGTCAAAAATGTCTGGGTATCCGAGTTAAGTTGGCAAGACTGTAAATGGGTTTTTTCTTAAATACTTATTTGTAAATGGTGTTTTAATATCATGTTTTGAAGTGAAATATTTCTGCTGTTGTATTTAACAAGCTTTTCTTAAAACCTTGTTCTGTACACTTTAAAATGTTATTTTCTAAAATTAATCACCAGAGCTGCGGAGATAATTGTCGATATAAGTAAAATTCTTGTTTTATCTCTACATGAAAACTACCAAGTCTACTTACAATGTACAGTGAGTTTAGCTGAAGCGTTAACGCTCCCCAGTAAATTTTTAGCTTCACAGCTGTAGACTTCCTCATCCTCAGGCCTCACGTCCTTCAAAATCAGAGCACCACTGGACTCTACCTTATGACGTCCCACAGGAAGTCGCGAGTTCATCTTAGACCACGTGATCTGTGGAGCTGGATTACCATATGCTGAACATTTCAAGATGGCCGTCTGGCTTTGATTGACAGTTGTTTCAAGAGGACTCTGCAGCAGAGAAGGAGCCGTGATGGACTGGCCCGGCTCACCCTTGGTTCCCTTTTGACCTGGTGGGCCTCTAGGACCCATGGGACCAAGAATCCCCGGTACTCCGAGATCACCTTTAGTGCCGACGGGTCCTGGAGGTCCCACTTGCCCATGTTTACCAGGAGGTCCTTCTGGCCCGGGCTTCCCTGGGGGACCTGGTCTCCCCCGGAATCCAGGTCTTCCCCGTCGCCCTACATTAGCTTTTGGTCCTGAGCGGCAAAGCTTTTCATCTTTTGCACAGAACTGGTTTTGCAGCAGACGAAGCTCTTCTTTGATGAGTAGTTTTACTTGCGATTCTGTTTGGACCGATTTTGTTCGTGAGTTAGCGGGTGACACTCTTTTCTGTCTTGAATTGACGTTTTCATACTCGCCAAGACCTTTCAAAACATTAAATAAAGCCCTTTCTGAGGATTAAGTAAAAATGGAATTATATATCGTACCAAAGAAAAGACAAACAAACGCCCAAAAGTGAAAACAATCTAAAAAAAACGACCGCTTCCTTGATGGTGTTTCTTCCCGACACGCATCCTCTGAGTTAGCACAAAAAAACAGTCTTTTTAAATTCTTACCGAGCTAAGCCAACATTGTACACCCACTTCAGTTCAAGTCATGTCCATTTGCTAAATAGCCAACTCCTCGTATGTAGCCCAAAGGAAATACGGACTCATTTTGTGTTTGATAGAACCGAACAACTCTAATTTTGGTTTCATTTACTGTATCAGTGTAGCTGAAGGTTGTTATAATATCGTTCGTTCGAAATGTGCAGTGATACTTTTAAACTAACTCAGGACGAGTTGTATTCACTTATTTTGCGGGTGGTTGTTGGCTCTTATTGTATAAACCTTGTTACGGCGCGGTTTTGGACGCCATCTTCACGAGTAGGCAAACGCGCGAGAAATTACAGTGTTTGTATGAGAATCTAATGTCGAATAATTCCCGTAGAACGGTACTTCTGAAAAAATATGATTTGTAAACTAAAGCTTCGCTCCTAAGGATTTTACTGAAAAAATTCAAGTACGTTACATGCACTAGAAGACCTAGAACGACTTTTTAAAATTTTCATGAGAAAGTCCCGGGAAAATAACAGACAAATATATGGAAAATCTAAAGCAAGCCTCTAGGGTCTCTAGCAAGCCTCTTAGTTTACAATTGATATTTTATTCAGAACAGCCGTTTTGTTGAAATTATTCGACATTAGATTCTCATACAAACACTGCAATTTCTCACACATTTGCCTACTCGTCAAGATGGCGTCGAAAACCGTGACAAGGGCTATTCTGTTCTTGACAGCCTCACCGATTATAAGCCTGTGCTCTTATTGCGGATTCTAAGCGGGTAGTTGGAACGAATTTTGAAGATAAAGCACCGTTTATGTTAAACAAGGATAATTTTCATAATCGCCAGGATCTGAAACAAGCTGATGTTAACATCAAAAACCAAAAAATTTTATAAAACCTTTCCTTACCATTTGTCCCCTGCAAATGACCTTTTAAGCCATCAGCTTTCGTAACTTGCCATCGTTCGTAATTCTGCTGAACTTTCCTCAGAATCTGCGTTTCCATCTGATCACAGAATGTTACCGAGTGTGATATCAGTCGATGATGTTCTTGTATTCGGAGTTCCACGTGAATTACAGCGATACAACAAGCAACAGACAACAGCAAAGCTGAAACGGAACACAAGCTGTTCAGTGTTTCTCTGCTGTTTTTCATCTTGTCTTCCTTACTAGTCGGCTGTTTCATGTTTAAAACAGTTTTCAGAGATACACAGCGTCAATTTCGAGATAACAAACTGAAGGCGTGGAGTGAATCTTTGGCGACGAAAACTCAAAGCGTTTTAAAAACGAAAAGCGGAAGCTGAAACGTGACTTATTAAATTTCGTCCCTGAAATGGATATAACCCACCATGAGTTGTAACTGATACGAGAAAATAATCCCCTGACCTAGCCAGAGTAATACATCATAGGTTAAAAAATTGGCGGAAATTCAAAGTGAGGGAACTTCTGGGACTTCCTGTTCAGAATTGTTGAGGGTCCCCACAAAATATATATATATTTTTTTGAGATTTGGTATTTAACTTATCTACCCGCAGGATTCGGGATTTCATATGAAATGCAGAGCTCGAGTTAGCGTTGGATCCCGAATTGAAAGGGACCGAATAGGTTTTTCGGAACCCGGGATTTCTCTTCTTTGAAGCTCGGGATTCGGGATTTAAAAGCAAAATCGGGGCGAGTTTCGGGATCGAAATTATACACGGGAGGTGGGATACCAAAACTAACCCTTGGGATTAGGGGATAACACGAAATTTTGGGTCGAGATTACGCAATTGAAGAGTCCTAGTAGTGAGTCCCTCGAATTGGACTTCTGCGCCGGAATACGTGATTTACTGATTCTGTGATGCGGAATTCATGAAATGTTGTTTCCCGTTAAAACAGTACAGTGAACTGAATTTTTTTAAAAATGATATCGATCGACAAAAACCTTTTATGTCCACCCTGTCACGAGGCCAATTTTCGTAATATCTAACTATCTGGTGCCTGTGGCTTGTTCGATGAAAACGTTTCCTCTTTAAATACAGCCCAGGCTGTCGTGCTTTCACCGTGACAACAATTTAGCTCAGTTACTTCAAACTGGGGTGGCGGTAACAATAGACCAAGTTAAATGCTTAAAGGAACCTTTCAGTCAGTGCTTTGAAGTCCCGGCTTGCAGGATTATATGTTTCTAAATGGTAATCCGCCACTTTAACAGAACAAATGGAACCAGCCAGTGAATAGGCTTTAGCCTGTTTCAGGCGTTTAGATTGTGGGGAGCAAGTGAAATCGTACGCGGCGAGCGCAAAAAGAAACACGAGGGGAAAAAAACGAGGGGAGACTGAGGCGTTTTCGCCCGCTCCCCACCATCCGAACGCCTGGAACAGGCCAGCCAGTGAAAGATACTATGGTTCAGAAACCATTTAAATTTGTGACTGAGGAAGGACTCAAGCCCGAAAAGTCTAGAAACATTGCACTTTTCAGACCACACTTTTGTTTCACTAAAAACACTGAACTTACAGTCAACTTTCTCTTTGATGGAGACCTTTGGGACCGGCCGCGACTGTCCATCTTAGAGGGATGTCCGGCTTACAGAGGGTTGAGGTAACTTGACACCAGTATAAACATATAAAGGCTGAACCCATTCGCAATGAATACACGTCCGTTTAACTTTTGCAAAACAGCTAAAACTAGAATATTGCACACAAATGTGAAATAATTTTCTTATTATAAAATCAAACGTTCATAATACAAGCCAAAGTTCACGACTTAGCGGTGTAAAAGCGCAACAGTATACAGTCTACAGCTGACTCTATGAACTGAAGAAAGACTACCAAATATGAAAATCTAGCAATTTACTGTCCTTTAGAGCACCTACATTTGTGTTTTAAGGGTATTTTTACTGCATAAAGCACTTCTCAAGGGTCAGTTGACGGTTTCACAAGAGTCCGTTGTCCGTTTTAGAGAGGTGTCCGTCTTAGCCAGGACTTAGCGTAGCTCTCTCACGCTTAAAGGGCATCCGAGAAATTTTGGTAGTCACTTGACCGCACGCCCGCCCGCTCTCTTGACCGACCGTCATTCCGCACCACAGGCATACCAATGTAAAATAACTCAATCGACAGGTATAGCAACTCAAATGCAACTCAAGGTTTTATTTGGAAGGAAATCGCATGGCCGCCCGGACTTTTAGAAAGAATAAACAACAACAAAGCCGTGTCTTCTTCGACGTTATTTTTGATGTTTACACTCAAGTGGATAACAAAGAAAGAGCTAGAGCAAGTGATTGAAAACAAAGGAGACGAATTCCGTGGGAAAAAAAACATGAAAATTCAAAGCGTCGGTAAGAAAATGACGAATGCTAGCGGCCAGCAAGGAGCGACCAGTAGGGTGTAAATGAGGGCCAGTGAAAAAAAAANACACAAATGTGAAATCATTTTCTTATTATAAAATCAAACGTTCATAATACAAGCCAAAGTTCACGACTTAGCGGTGTAAAAGCGCAACAGTATACAGTCTACAGCTGACTCTATGAACTGAAGAAAGACTACCAAATATGAAAATCTAGCAATTTACTGTCATGTAGAGCACCTACATTTGTGTTTTAAGGGTATTTTTACTGCATAAAGCACTTCTCAAGGGTCAGTTGACGGTTTCACAAGAGTCCGTTGTCCGTTTTAGAGAGGTGTCCGTCTTAGCCAGGACTTAGCGTAGCTCTCTCACGCTTAAAGGGCATCCGAGAAATTTTGGTAGTCACTTGACCGCACGCCCGCCCGCTCTCTTGACCGACCGTCATTCCGCACCACAGGCATACCAATGTAAAATAACTCAATCGACAGGTATAGCAACTCAAATGCAACTCAAGGTTTTATTTGGAAGGAAATCGCATGGCCGCCCGGACTTTTAGAAAGAATAAACAACAACAAAGCCGTGTCTTCTTCGACGTTATTTTTGATGTTTACACTCAAGTGGATAACAAAGAAAGAGCTAGAGCAAGTGATTGAAAACAAAGGAGACGAATTCCGTGGGAAAAAAAACATGAAAATTCAAAGCGTCGGTAAGAAAATGACGAATGCTAGCGGCCAGCAAGGAGCGACCAGTAGGGTGTAAATGAGGGCCAGTGAAAAAAAAAAAAGCGAACATGAACACAGGAAACAAAATATTGGTTAAGCACATACGACAATTCCTCCGTAAAAATAATGTGTAACTAGAAAGTTTGACGTTTTAGTCGTACAAAACAGCGTTGTAGTCGTCCAAAATATCGGCAAAGAAAGGCAAAAATGCGTGCTGCACGTGCAAATTTGTTTTTTGCTAATAAGAAAAAAAAGTGTGCTGCACGTGCAATGTTTTTTGGCTAATTAGATGTATTGATCTTGATGCCATTTTCATTGCCGTCTCTGTTTAACATTACACGATTTAATTTTTTGTTTATAAGTATTAATATTAACAAGAGCTTCGCTCTTAGCCCTGGGTTAAATCTATATATTAGAGAGTATGGTTACAGTGAAATGACTGAAAAACGGCAGGGACCAACACCAGGTGACCTTCTTAGAGAGGTGTGTGTCTTATGGGGGTGTTCGTCAACAGAGACTTGACGGTATAATCACCCCCACCCACCCCTTTTGCTATCTTCTTCCCTCCCTGTCGAGTAAACTTGACACCTATGACAACAAACAAGCTTTTATTTACTGATTGTTCACAACTCAATACTTACAAAACTGGTATTGACGACTCAAGTTCTAGACTGCGAGCAGTCTCTTATTTTTCTTTGCAAAGTTACTGCACGAGAAACCCAAGCACCGAGCGGCGAGCGAATGTTAAGAGAAAAGGCGGACTGCAAGCAGTCTACTCAAGCTCTGACATGCACCGATGCTATTGAAATTGAAAATTAAACAGGGAAACAAATTTGGAACACTTAAAAAACCCATGTTCAGGTTATTTGATGTGATTATTTTTGATAAGTAACGTGATTATAAAGCAAAATCTTTAGTGCACGACTTCCAGTGAGCAATACATGCATTTGAAACAATCGTCTTCACCCGAATAATTGCCCCCGGCTATTATTCGGGAAATACGGTAATCTGTTAATAATCATGCGAGTCATTTCATGAACAATGCACAAGCACAGTAGAATACTGAGAATACTTAATATTGATTGCGATTTTCAGTTTCGAGTTTGGTAATAATGTGGCTGCTAACGCGAGTGAACCAAACTCGATAAATACCGCGAGGAACGAGCCTCACTTTGTCTCCGCACTTGCTCGAGGGAAGTGATTTCTCTTCTTTGACTGATTATTTCAGGGAGTCGTGAAACGAAACCAATGTACAATGCCAGGCTATCTTAGCTTTATAGCTAAGTTGGCGTTTTTGTTTCGTTTGACCGAAAATTTATTGATTTCATCCTCGAGTTTTACCTTTGGCTGTCAGAGTACTCATCTTCTTTGGTGAAAAACAGCTGCAAAAAGCTCTCGGGGGTCGGGGAAGGGGTGCAAAAGAAACGAACAAGCTCTTCTGGGTGTGGAAGGGGGAGGATAGAAGAACATTTCCTCCAGTTCTTCGAGTTCTGTCATTCTTCTCTTTGTTACGGTTTTGCAAATTTCAAACTGCCTGCTTTCCTAGACCACTTGAAATATAGTCATCTTCCAAACAGAGGATATTTTGAAAGTAGTGTGCATACCGTAATAAGCATTGAAGAGGCTGTCTTTTCAAAGCTTTAATCTACATCTTAACGGTTTAATAATAATAACAATAATACTTATATAGCGCCGATATCAATATTGCTATTTTCATCAGCGCTTAAAAATAAATATATTTAAAAAATAAAAATAAAATAAAATAATAATAATAATAAGTGCATAAAGTATACATGCGAAAAGTGCATGAACCTACCAAAAAGAGTAAAACAATTATGTCAACACTAAAACTATAAAAATTACCTAGACTACTTAAATCGTAAAAAACTGCATAAAAACTACTAAAAACGAAATTAAAAAGCACATAAAATCACAAAAAAGCTTTCTGAAATAAAAATGTCTTGAGTGTCTTTTTAAAAGATGCTACTGAGCGGCTACTCCTAATTGAATAGGGCAATGAATTCCATAGCTGAGGAGCAGCAGCAGCAAAAGATCGATCTCCTAACGTTGTTAAAGTCTTGAATTTCACAGGGTTTAGGAGCAGTCCATCACAATCGTAACTTGTATTTACGTGCTTCTTTAAGACTAATAAGTTCCTGGAGATAAAAAGGCGCTAAGCCATTGATAGCCTTATACGTTAACAATAATATCTTAAAGTCAATTCGGAATTTAACGGGCAGCCAGTGCAGATTATACAGCAACGGTCTTACATGGCAGTATTTAGATTCCAGGAAAATTAACCTAGTGATTGGGGTAAACTTTAGTCAAGGGCATTATTTGCAAAAATTTCCAGGTAGAAAGAAAGATTCTCACGCTCTCATCCATTATTAAACGATGAGTTTTATCGGCCACTATCACAGGTAACGTTAATATCCCACTTGCAGAATAGAACCCTTCGCTCTGTTCAGGATGGGCTCCTGCTCTGTTAAATTACTACTCAATGATACAACTTAACAATATAAGATAAATTGCTGGAAGCTGTGTGTTAAACTGATGAATGATATACATGTAGTTTCTCGTGGTACAAGGTAATCGTTATGCAATGCCAAAGCATCTCAGTTTTCCCAGAGTGTGATATCCTTGTTCGCTGCTTCCGCCAGTATCACCAAACCTGAGTTGTTTTACAGGAAGCTTTGTCTTATCAGTGAGAAGACCGCTGTCTTCACGCCATACAAAGTCATTCTTATCACAGTTACAACCATAATTGGAGTCTGCACATGAGTTAGTCATCCCGCATGCGCACTTACCACTACCAGGTGACGCCCCACCCCAGTATGTCATCTTTGCGGAATCACGTGACACCCACCAAGCATATTCCCAACGGAATATCACTGAATCGTAACACTCGTACTTGATGAACTGCTCACAGTGTGAAGAGACTCTGGTGAGACTCGCCAGCTGAGACAGACTCGCTCCTGTGTAATGAATGTCACGTGAGTAACACCCTGATGGATCACATCCAGAAACATGTGTTCTGCTCTCACTGTCGTGACCAATGACTGTCACGCCAACTCCACTTTTATCAGTCATGTCACAGAACACCGTGAATGGTGCCAGACCTCCCTTGCCATTAGGATCAATGACGTAATTTCCGCTTACACTGCTGATGTATTTTTTAACTTCAGAACAGGAAGCAACAATTGGAGTGATTTTGACTTTAGCTTCTATTGTTGTTAGGGTATTGCTGGCTCGACAAATGTAAGATCCTTTTTGAGTTTTCTTGATATTTTCAATAACTAGAGTGTCATCTTGAAGAACACGAGCGTTTACAGGAAGTACATTAGCGCCATTCATTGTCCAAGCAAGTGTGGTACTCAGCTCACTCTCGGCCGCACACGGCAGACGGAGAGTGGAACCAATCACAAAAGTCACCTCTTGTGGAGGACGGACTTTAAACTGCAATGGAGAGAATACCATAACAAGGGTTGTGGCTGTTGCTGTTCCCAGAATATTCTCTGCTTTACAAATGTATACTCCACCATCTTTTTTTGTGACACTGTAGATTTTCATGGTTCCACCTTGCACCTTGATTCTGCCTCCAGGTAAACTTCCCACTGCCTTGGACCACGTGATCTTAGGTGACGGCTGACCAGTAGCAGTGCAGGCGATGGTGACGTTTTGTTTCTCTTCAGCCATCAGTCGATTGGATGACAATGAAGGTCGCGGACCAACTGGCGAAAAATAGAAAATCAGACCACTTGTTAAAGAAAGTCTGAATTAGAGCGCAGAAAATCAGTGACCCCTCAAAATGTGTTTGCAAGTACAGTGGACTCCCGATAACTCGAACCTTCAACGGAAATCGAAAAAGTTCGAGTTTTCGGGAGTTTGAATCAAATAACCGGAAATAAGGAAATAAGCAAATGGATGGGAAGGAAGTATAAGTATACAGGAATGGACACTGAATTTGAACTGGAGTGACAAAAAAGTAAAGACAAAGAATTTACTAGGTTGTTTTGAAATATTTCGGACTTTCGAAATATTTCAATGTTTTGGACTTCAGTACACGGTTTTTTCCGGACTTGTCACGCGCTTATAACATGGTACGAGTTATCGAGGGTCAGAAGTTGTATAGAAATAAGCTGAAGGGAAACAAAAATTACTTCGAGTTAGCGGGAGGTTCGAGTTACCGAGGGTAAAATTGCAGTAAATGTAAGAAGGAAATCCAGGGGAAATCGACTTTGGTTTGAGTTAGCGCGAGGTTCGAGTTAGCGGGAGTCAACTGTAGCTTATTTTAAGTAGACAAATGGTTTTGTAGCCTGCGTTACGTTGTTGCTCTTCTTTATACTATCCACACTAAACGATATCCAGATACAGATCTGATTTAGCAAAATTGAATTCGACAAAAAGTATGTTTTTCAGTTAAGCACTGTCTAAATTATGTTTTAATACCACATGATTCAAAGTTTAATATCCAATCGTAACCGGTGACATAATATAGGAATTTTTTTATGTTTTGTTTAAGGAGCTTTTTTAATCACGGTCTATCCAACCTGTCTTTTCGAAGTTAAATTTCACGACTCCGCTGGTAATTGTCGATTCATAGAATTCTTAGTCCACTTTAATCTTTAAACAAAGTAACCACGTCCACTTACACTGTACAGTGAGTTTAGCTGAAGCGTTAACGCTCCCAAGTAAATTTCTAGCTTCACAGCTGTAAACTCCCTCGTCTCCAGGCCTCGCATCCCTCAAAATCAGAGCACCACTGGACTCTACCTTGTTACGTCCCATCGGAAGCCGCGAGTTCATCTTAGACCACGTGATTTGTGGAGTTGGATTACCATCCGCTGAACATTTCAAGATGGCCGTCTGGCTTTGATTGACAGTTGTCTCAAGAGGACTCTGCAGCAGAGATGGAGCCATGATGGACTGGCCCGGCTCACCCTTTGTTCCCTTTTGACCTTGTCGGCCTCTAGGACCCATGGGACCAGCGACCCCCGGTACTCCGAGATCCCCTTTAATGCCGACGGGTCCTGGAGGTCCCACTGGCCCATGTTTACCAGGAGGTCCTTCTGGCCCGGGCTTCCCTGGGGGACCTGGTCTCCCCCGGAATCCGGGTCTTCCCCGTCTCCCTGCATTACCTTTTGGTCCTGAGCGGCAAAGCTTTTCATCTTTTGAACAGAATTGGTTTTGCAGCACTCGAAGCTCTTCTTTGATGAGTAGTTTTACTTGCGATTCTGTTTGGACAGATTTTGCTTGTGAGTTAGCGGGAGACGCTCTCTTCTGTCTTGAATTGACGTTTTCATACTCGCCAAGACCTTTCAAAACATTAAATAAAGCCCTTTCTGAGCAGCTTAAATATACATCGTACCAAAGAAAAAACAAACAAACCCCCAAAGGTGAAAACAATCTAAAAAACGACCGCTGCCTTGACGGTTTTTCTTCCCGACATGCATCCTCTGAGTTAGCGTAAAAAAATAGTCTTTTTAAATTCTTACCGAGCTAATCCACCATTGTACACCCAATCCAGTTCAAATCATGTCCATTCGCCAACTCCTCGTATAAAGCCCAAGGAAATACGGACTCATTTTGTGTTCGATAGAACCGAATAATTATAATTTTGATTTTCATTTACTGTATCAGTGTAGCTGAAGGTTGTTATAATATCGTTCGTTTGAAATGAGCAGTGATACTTTTAAAGTTACTCAAGAAGGGTTGTTTTCACTCCTTTTGCGGTTGGTTGATGGCTCTTGTTGTATGGACCTTGTCACGGTTTTCGACGCCATCTTCACGAGTAGACAAACGCGTGAGAAATTACAGTGTTTGTATGAGAATCTTACGTCGAATAATTTCCGAAAAACGGCTCTCCTGAAAAAAATATGTTTTGTAAACTAAAGGTTCACTCCTAAGGATTCCACTGAAAAAATTCAAGGGCGTTGAATGCACTACAAGACCTAGAACCACTTTTTAAAATTTTCATGAGAAAGTCCCGGGAAAATTACAGACAAATATATGGAAAATCTAAAGCAAGCCTCTAGAGAAATTTAAGAACAGGTACGCCCCCAAAATTGTTTAGGACAATCCTTTGCTTTGTAGCTTTAGTTTACAATCGATATTTTTTTCAGAACAACCGTTTTGTGGAAATTATATATTCGACATTAGATTCTCATACAAACACGTCAAGATGGCGTCGAAAACCGTGACAAGGTCTATTCTGTTCTTGACAGCCTCACCGATTACAAGCCTGTACTCTTATTGCAGATTCTAAGCGAGTAGTCGGAACAAATTTTGAAGATAAAGCTCCTCAGTATGCTAAACAAGGATAATTTTCTTAATCACCACGATCTGAAACAAGCTGATGTTAACATCAAAAACCAAAAAATTCTATAAAACTTTTCCTTACCATTTGTCCCCTGCAAATGACCTTTTAAGCCATCAACTTTCGTAACTTGCCATCGTTCGTAATTCTGCTGAACTTTCCTCAGAATCTGCGTTTCCATCTGATCACAGAATGTTACCGAGTGTGATATCAGTCGGTGATGTTCTTGTATTCGGAGTTCAACGTGAATTAGAGCCATACAACACGCAACAGACAACAGCAAAGCTGACACAGAACACAAGCTGTTCAGTGTTTCTCTGCTGTTTTTCATCTTGTCTTCCTTACTAGTCGGCTGTTTCATGTTCAAAACAGTTTTCAGAGATACACAGCGTCAATTTCGAGATAACAAATTGAAGGCGTAAGGTGAATTTTCTTTGACGACGAAAACTCAGAGCGTAGCTGAGCGTTTTATGTTAAGCAAAACGAAGGAGGAAGCTGAAACGTGACTTAAATTTCGTCCCTGAAATGGATACAACCCACCATGAGTTGTAACTGATACGAGAAAATAATTCCTTGACGCAGCCAGAGTAATTACATCATAGGTTAACAAATTGGCGGAAATTCAAAGTGAAGGAACTTCTGGGACTTTCTGGGCAGAATTGTTGTGGGTCACCCCAAAAGGGTTTTTTTTTGAGAGTTGGTATTTAACTTATTTACCCGCAGGATTCGGGATTTCATATGAAATGTAGTGCTCAATTTAGCGTGGGATCCCGAATTGAAGGGTGCCTAATAGGTTTTTCGGGACCCCCGGGATTTCCCTCATTCAGAAGCTTGGGATTCGGGATTTGAAAGAAAAATCGGGGCGAGTTTCGGGATTGAATGTATACGCGGGAGGTAAAATGCTAAAAATAACCCTTGGGATTAGGGGATATCACGAAATTTTGGGTCGAAATTACGGGATTGAAGAACCGTATTAGTGAGTCCCTCGAATTGGACTTCTGCGCGGGATACGTGATTTATCGATTCTGTGATACGGAATTCATGAAATGTTGTTTCCCGTTAACACAGTGAACTGTACTTTCTTAAAATGATATCGATCGATAAAAACCTTTTATGTCCACCCTGTCACGAGGCCAATTTTCGTAATATCTAACTATCTGGTGCCTGTGGCTTGTTCGATGAAAACGTTTCCTCTTTAAATACAGCCCGGGCTGTCGTGCTTTCACCGTGCCAACAATTTAGCTCAGTTACTTAAAACTGGGGTGTAACAATAGACCAAGTTAAATGCTTAAAGGAACCTTTCAGTCAGTGCTTTTAAGTCCCGGCTTGCAGGACTTTATATTTCTAAATGGTAATCCGCCACTTTAACAGAACAAATGGATCCAACCAATGAATAGCCTGTTTCAGGCGTTTAGATATTCGGGAGCGAGTGAAATCGTACGCGGCGAGCGCAAAAAGAAACACGAGGGAAAAAACGAGGGGAGACTGAGGCGTTTTCGCCCGCTCCCCGCCATCAGAACGCCTGGAACAGGCTAGCCAGTGAAAGATACTATGGTTCAGAAACCACTTAAATTTGTGACTGAGGAAGGGCTCAAGCTCGATAAGTCTGGAAACATTGCAGTTTTCAGACCACACTTTTGTTTCACTAAAAACACTGAACTTACAGTCAACTTTCTCTTTGATGGAGACCTTTGGGACCGGCCGCTACTGTCCGTCTTAGAGGAATGTCCGGCTTACAGAGGGTTGAGGTAACTTGACACCAGTATAAACATATATAGGCTGAACCCATTCGCAATGAATACACGTCCGTTTAACTTGTGCAAAACGGCTAAAACTAGAATATTGCACACAAATGTGAAATAATTTTCTTATTATAAAATCAAATGTTCATAATACAAGCCAAAGTTCACGGCTTAGCGGTCTAAAAGCACAACAATATGCACTCAACAGCGGACTCTATATGAACTGGAGAAAGACTACTGAAATGTTAAAATTCTCTCTTGATGTAGAGCACTTACATTTCGGTTTTGAGGTATTTTTCAACGCATTAAGCACTTCTCAATTGTCCATTGACGGTTTCGCAAGAGCCCGTTGTCCGTTTTAGAGAGGTGTCCGTCTTATAGAGAGTGTAAAATGACTGAGAAACGGCAGGGACCAACACCATGTGTCTGTCTTAGAGAGGTGTCTGTCAGTTATGGAGGTGTTAGTTAAGAGAGAGTTGAGGGTATTTTAATCCACTTACTGTATTTCCTCGAATAATAGCCGTCCCCCTATTAATCTCTTCCCTCAAATAATAACCCCCCCCCCACCCCTTTCGCTTTTTTCTTCCCTCCCTGTCACGATAAAATTGACACCTTTGACGGCAAACAAGTTTTTATTTACTTATTGTTTACAACTGAAAAGTTACAAAACTGATCAGTGACTGCTCAAGCTCTGACACCGATGACATTAAAATTGAAAAGTAAACCGGGAAACAAATTTGGAACCCTTAAAAGGACCATGTTCAGTTTATTTGATGTGATTATTTTTGATAAGTAACGGGATTATAAAGCAAAAGACTTAGTGCACGACTTCAAGTGAGCAATACATGTATTTGATATAATCGCCTTCCCTCGAATAATCTACGGTAATCTGTTAATCGTTATGCCAGTCAGTTCATGAACCATTCACGAGCACAGTAGGTTACTTAATATTGATTGCGATTTTTTTGTCGTTTGGTAATAATGTGGCTGTTAACGCGAGTGAACCAAACTCGATAAATACCGCGAGGAACGAGCCTCACTTTGTCTCCGCACTTGCTCGTGGGAAGCGATTTCTCTTCTTAGACTGATTATTTCAGGGAATCGTGAAACGACACCAATATACTTGTCAGGTTATCTTAGCTTTATAGCGAAGTTTTCTTTTTTGTTTTGTTTGACGAAATTTATTGATTACATCCGCGAGGTTTACCTCTTCCTCTCAGATTACTCATCTTCTTTAGTGAAAAACGCTGCAAAAAGCTCTCGGGGGTCGGGGTAGGGGTGCAAAAGAAAGGAACAAGCTCTTTCTATGTGTCGAAGGTGGGAAGGGGGAGGAAAGAAGAACACTTCCGCCAGTTCTTTGAGTTCTGTCATTGTCCTCTTTGTTACGGTTTTGCAAATTTCAAACTACTCGTTTTGCTAGACCACTTGAAATATGGCCATCTTCCAAACAGAGGATATTTTAAAAGCAGTGTGCATACCGGGACGAGCAAGGAAGAGGCTGTCTTTTCAAAGCTTTAATCTACATCTTAACAGTTTAACTACTTATTCGGGTAAACTTTAGTCAAGGGCATTATTTGCAAAATTTCCAGCTGGAAAGAAAGATTTTCACGCTCTCATCCATTATTAAACTATAAGTTTTATCGGCCACTATCACAGGTAACGTTAATATCCCACTTGCAGAATAGAACCTTTCGCTCTAAATTGCTAGAAGGTGTGTTAAAATGATGAATGATATAGTTTCCCTGGTACAAGGTAATGCATCATCATGCAATGCCAAAGCATTTCAGTTTCCCCAGAGTGTGGTAACCTTCCTCGCCACCACCCACATCACCAAACCTGAGTTGTTTGACTGGAAGCTTTGTCTTGTCAGTGAGGAGACCGCTGTCTTCACGCCATACATTGTCATTCTTATCACAGTTACAACCATAACTGGAGTCTGCACATGAGTTTGTCATCCCGCATGCGCACTTACCACTGCCTGGTGACGCTCCACCCCAGTGTGTCATCTTAGCAGAATCACGTGACACCCACCACCCAGTTGGAATGAAAAGCCACAAACCAGATCGATAACACTCGTACTTGATAACCTGCTCACATTGTGAAGAGACTCTGGTGAGACTCGCCAGCTGAGATACACTCGCTCCTGTGTAATGAATGTCACGTGAGTAACACCCTGGATCTTCACATCCCTTAACATGTGTTCTACTCTCACTGTCGTGACTAATGACTGTCACGCCAACTCCACTTTTATCGGTCATGTCACAGAA